CCAATTATCGCGGTTGGCCGCTCCAACATAAACTGGTCGAGTGTTCGCCTGTTGTTTAAAATAATGTTCGATTGTTGCCAAATTATTTATCGATCGTACAGGGCCGGTTCCACTGCTGAAAATTCTTCAAAATTCCGAATTTTTGTACAAATTGTTAATTGTGGTTAAAACTGGCGAAAAGGGGTATTCGCAAAATTGTGTTTTTTTGGCCGTTTTTCGCTTTTTATAGGCACAAATTAGTTAGTGATTTTTTTTTAATTTCACCTGTAATTCACACTGGCCCGGGGGCATTATTAAGCGAGAGTCTGTTTTCATCAAAAGTTTGCTAGTTTCCAAGAAATTGGGTAAATTGTGTTTTTTATGCAGTTTTTCACTTTTTTATATACAAATTATTTAGAGATTTTTTTAAAATTTTGCCAGTGACTGTTGAGTGGCCATTTTTTTAAAGGGGGCGGATTTTTTCAAAAAATCAATAGTTTCTAAGAAATTGGCTAAATTGCGTTTTTATGCCGTTTTTCACTTTTTTATGTACAAATTACTTAGAAATGTTTCTAAAAATGTTCCCAGTGATTGCGAGTGTTCAGTGTCCATTTTTTCGCAAAGGCCTGTTTTTATTATAAAATCCCTGGTTTCAAGAAATTCGCAAAATTGCGTTTTTATGCAGTTTTTTCCTTTGTTAAAAATTAAATGTTTGTTAAAATTAATTAGGAATGTTTTTAAATTTTTCCAGTGTTTGCGACTGTTTAGTGGCCATTTTTTCGCAAGAGCCTGTTTTCATTAAAGAATCCCTAGTTTTCAATAAATCCTTAAAATTTTTATTAAAGTTAAAAAATTAGTAAAGTTTTTTATGCAGTTTATCGTTTTTTTATGTACAAATTACTTCGGAATGTTTTCTAAATTTTTCCAGTGATTGTGGCTGTACAGTGGCCACGTTTTTGCAACAGTCCGTTTTTATCAAAAATTCCCTAGTTCTCTTCACGAAATTGACTAAACTCCGTTTTTTAGGAAGTTTTTCGCTTTTTTATGCACAAACTATTAAGGGATTTTTTTCAAATTTATCAAGTGTTTGCGGCTTCCCAGTGGCCATTTTTTCACAGGAGTCTATTATTATCAAAAAATCTCTAGTTTTAAAGAAATTTGCAACGTTGCGTTTTTTAAGCAGTTTTTTCCTTTTTATGTACAAATTATTTCAGAATGTTTTCTAAATTTTTCCAATGATTACGGCTGTGTAGTGGCCCTTTATCGCATGAGCCTGTTGTTATAAAAAAAATTCCTAGTTTTCAAGAAATTGTCAAAATGCCATTTTTTCCCGTTTTTCGCTTTTTTATGCACAAATTATTTAGAGATTTTTTTAAATTTTTTCATAGTTACACAGCGATAACAGCCGACTCTGCAACCAGCAGTTATGTTTACCTCATTTGGTTGTTCCATATAAAATTCCATTCTTTGTAACCAGCTCGTGGCGTTAAGTAGTCAAGCCTATTTGTCGTTGAATTGAATAACACTTTTTAAAAACGGTTTCGCTCATTAAAGTCTTATAATTGGCGCAGTCGGTAGGATTGTGCGGTAGCAGATCCAATTTTTGGATATTTGCAGTTGTTCAGCTCTTCAGCACAATCACCAGAACCAACGACAAAGGCTCCTACCACCAGAGAATCGGGAAGGAATTAAGATTTTAATAGGAATAGCTATAGGGCCGTGTATTGCATACACATTATTAGTCTTATGTCAGTCGATCGAAGACAATTGTTTAGTTTTTGTTATTTTGTTCAGTTAACAAAATAAAAAATAAGAAAAATATTCAAAAATTTTGTAAATTTTATTGGAATATAAACGTTTATGTCTATTTATGAGTAAAGTAGACGATATTGTCAAACAATTAGAAAATTTTCGTCTTAGTAAACCAACAAGTACAACCGTTAAAATGACCGTTACAAGACAAAATAATATGAATTGGAGTCCGTCATAAAAAGCCATCGATGATTGAAAGAGTAAAATAAAGAACTCAACTGATCAACTAATCAAGCGAGCAGTTTTGGGTTATAACAACTCTATTCATACCGTAACAAAATTTAGTTCTTTTGAAATCATAACTGGTCACATTAAATCAATACATCCATTTGATCTCAACGACAACGTAATTATTTCAAGTTATGTGCAATTATTTAAAAAGAAATTGAAATCACACAAAGAGCATTCTATCAAACTATGTACTTTAACATCTTCATGAACCTTTCGTCTATGACTAATATAAGACTTGTTATTAAATTATTTTGGACAGGATTTACAGAGAAACTTTTTTCCAGGAAAAATATCGGCTATCTTCAATTCCGGACGGTTAATTTCTATGTGACGTTTCTAACTAGACTTCCGGCTAAAAACTTTCGCACAATGAGAATAGCTCCACTCCGTATTCATATTTGTTCTATTTAATAAAACTAATACCAACACACATTTTTCAAATCAAAATTTTACACAGGCTCGACTTGGCTTGAGTGCATTGACGAAACGTTAAAAACCGCTAAAAATTCCATAATCTGATTAGCTAGGTGTAGTAAAAGTTCTTATTATTCCAGGTGACAAAGCGGTTTACTTAAAAAGTCGTGTTCAGGTGAAACATGAGTTATATTTTGGACTTTGGAATTTTCCTTTTTAAAATACTTTATTTTCACAATTACAGTACTCTCTTTAACTCTGACTTTCTCTGACTACCATAATTATGCGTTTAGCAAGTATATATAAGTTATGTGTGACATAATGTTTACCGCAGACATAGCCAATTAAGGCTTTTTGTCTTTAATGGTAGCCTGCAAGAGCCTTGGTGGGTTT